AGCAGCAATACGGACTGAGGCCCATAGACTCGTATGTTAAAATTTCCCGTAGACTTTGTATAGGACTGTTTGCCATAGACTGTATGTTATAACGATCCCGTAGACTTTGTGTAGGACTGTTTGCCATAGACTTGTGTGCAGGACTGTTTGCCATAGAAATGTATGGTTAAGGCAAAACGGAACCACTGCTGGGCGGGTGGCAGTTAGCGCTGACTTCCAGCAAAAATACTGAAATTTAAAATTCAAATTTTTAAAGTATGCGGTGAGTTCGCTACTTGTGATTTTGTGTTGGTTCTTGATTAGTGTGACAGTTTTGTTTGCTGATTTCTGTTCTTTGCCAGACTGTTTCTGACCCCATGATATCAGCTACAGTAGTTTTTGTGGAAACTGATTGCGTGTTTCCATTGGTTGTGCTGCTGGAAGCATTCTCCCATTTGGATACTCAGACGCAGACGGGATTACGCAGTTTCTAGCGTGGAACTTCATCGTGGAATCACCTGTGTTGACGGCCTGCATCGTTGTTTGTTGTTGTGCCGCAATATTGTTTGCTTTTAGGCAAATATTTCGCGGCCACCACCGAATTTTATCTGTGCTGTTGTTTTGCAGCGTCGTTGTGATCGGTGCAGACGGTTAACTGCGTGGCCTCTCCTTCACACACGTTCCTCATCCTTCCCGAATTTCTCCTCGCCTTCCAGAAACCACTCAACGAAAGGTAAGCCGCCTTGCTTTGCATGTGGTTTGTGTTCAACTGTTTTTAACACTGATGGATTTGTGGCAAGTGCAAGTGGAGTGCTGTTGCCGCATTTCGTATCTTTATATTGTCTCATATTTAATATGCGTTCTCATGTTCTCTCATGTTTTCTTATTTTTTCTCATGTTTTCTTATGCTTTCTCATGCTTTTTATGGTTTTGTTTTGCAGAAATGTTGACAGTCGAGGTAGCTGTTCCTTTCAAGAACTCCACCGTCAAAATCGGAGTGGAAGGTTCCTACTAAGGCAAAACGGAACCACTGCTGGGCGGGTGGCAGTTACGTTAAGGAGTCAACCACCATGAGTACACAGTTACTTACTACCGCATTGCCCAAATTCACAGCACGTTTGTATAACGCTGCACTGACATCCAACCGCCTTTGCGTACGCAGTTACAAACTATTGCACATTTTCACAGCAGACTGATATGCATTTTCACTAACGGCTGATGTAAAATCTTCGTTCTCAAGATTGCCGTAGTGTAGGATCCACTACAAAATGGTATGAACAATAATACACTGTAGATCACTGCAGTTTTTTTTGTTGTACTAATAACATTTGCACATACAACCTGTGTATTTATTTTACTTTGCTCTTTTTTGTTGTACTAATAACATTTGCACATACAACCTGTGTATTTATTTTACTTTGCTCTTTTTTGTAATAATTTTTATAATGTTTCGTACACCCGTTTACACTACCATCAATATGTATGGCTACCTGTGGGACCAGCCTGCTGATACGAAGACGATTATTTTGGATGAGTTCCCGCTTGCAGATTTTCGCGACATACCTCTCACTCGGTTCACTGATCTCCAGTGTTTGTCCGCAAATGCTTGCGGAGTGTCTTCTCTGCTTGGTTTGACACCGTTACCCAACCTGACGTATCTGCAACTCAACGACAACCTGTTGGGGTACTCCGCCAATCCCCATTTTGAGATCCTGGCGACGGCGACGCCTAACCTGAAGCGACTGACTTTGGCCCACAATGGCATCAGCACCGTGGATTTCTTGGAGCCTTTGAAAAACCTGCCGGCACTCCATACCGTGGACCTGTTCCGCAACAGCGTGAACCGGACCCATTCCAGTGAACTGATCCGTGTTATCCCGCAGGTTACGCGATGGACTGGAGAGGATGGAGACGTCGAAAGCGAGAGCGATGAAGAGATGAATGGTGAGTAGTATTTTTTCTTGTCGGCATGATACTAGATGTTGACAGTATTCTGTCGAACTTTGATTAGGAAATTTTATGTACATAGAACCCGAGTCGGACCATGGCGAGGAGGAGAATGAGGATGACGATGTGTCAATGGCTGGCTCAGGTATTTATTTGTCACTTGCTTCGTTACGGTTTGTGTGACTTTTTTAAAGTTTCTTGTGGACACTTGCAGACCGTACTTGGTTGCTGTCGGACGATGATGTGGACCACATCTCCGACTCCGCCTCGGAACCGGACGTAGATGAATCGGCCTCGGATGAGGACGCGGATGAGATCCCGGACTCGGCCTCGGAACCCGACGGCGACCGCCAGGACAGCGACGACGACGTAGTTATGCTTAACTAGTTAGTTGTCTTCGTGCGTTTTTCCTGTTTTAACCCCCTCGGAGACCCCCTCGGTAACCATATAACGAGTGTTATATATTCTTCGTATCTGTGGTTAACTATCTCATGATTTTTTTATCTGTTACTGTTTTCACCCCCTCGGACACGGTGTTACGTATATTTTTAATTGTCGTTACTCATGTTTTTTTTTGTGTTTGTACTGTACGTTGCACAAACACGTGTTTGTTTGTGTTGTACGTGTTTGTGTTGTACGTTGCACTCGTACGTGTTAAGAAACATCAAAATGCGTAGGAGACGTTGCTGTGAAATTTCGGTTTTGTAAAAATATAAAATCCGACCGCGCGAAAATTATTCCAAGTTAAATACAGGTGGTCTAAATTTTACATCTGTTATTTTTGCGGTATGTAGAAATCGCTTTCGGGTAAATAATAATTTGCAGAATTTTACGTTTGCAAATTTTTGACCTTTCGAAAATGGATTACGATTTAACGGACGATGACCTTTTTGATGCCGCAGCCTTGGCGGCACTAGATGATTGGGTCTTTGATGACGGCTTAGCTGATCAGGATATGCTTGATGCTGCCGAGTTGGCTGGCATGGATGACTGGGTCGCCGACGAGCCTCAGGCGGGAGCGGGTATACCGAATGATTTTTGTGTAGCTGAACATGTCGCAGTAGAGCCCAGGGGTCACCGGTTCTCCAAGACCCACAGCATGCATTTTAAGCTGTTTCAAATAAGTGTCCATGATCTGGATGGTATAAGCTTTATTGATGCTCCGGCAGTAATCGTGGCTGTGTTGGAATATATCCTTGATACTGTTTTGGCTGGAGTAGCTCGTCAACAGTACGTCCGCGTGTCAGTGGATTCGGCTCACCTGTCGTTCCCTATTTGGACGCCACCAACACTGCGATCCCAGTTGACCGTACAGCGGTGGATGGCAGAGATATCCAAAGTCTTGAATTCCCATCAAGAGTTTGTCATAGATGGATCTCTCGAGGTTTTGCTGGAGCATACGGAAATTCCTTCGGGTCGGTGTGCCCGGGACGTCCCTCCAATGCTGTACCAGAAGCTCAAGAAAATGACGTCAGTCATCTTGGTCAACAACGACGACGAGATCTGCATGGCTCGTGCCCTAGTAATTGGCAGAGCATTTGCGGATGGTCACAAGGAGTATGCCAGGCACATTGCCAAGGGTAAAAGGGAAATTTTTGCATTGTCGAAGGACCTTATCAAAAAAGCCGGTCTGCCCATGCGTGAATATTCCCTGGCGGACATTCCAGCTTTCGAGAATGTGCTTCGTGGTTACCAGGTCGTAGTTGTTAGTACCATGCAGACCTGGGCAGTTATAACTTAACTCATAACTTAACGCGAGTTATTTCCGAGTTATCGAGTTATAACGTAACTCTGTAGCGTAACTCGCGACAAACAAAACTTAACTCTAGCGTAACTCGAAAATAAAATAGCGCAACGTAACTATAGCGTAACTTTGTGGTTTCGAGTTATCTACAAAAATATTTAACATAAAACGCAAAACAAAGTTTGACTCAGGCCACATTACGTTCCGAAAATTCGTGAAGCATTTTTAATCAACATCGCTTGATCTGATGTACACCACGACCGCCCTAGGAACTCTCCATATGACTCGCTGTGATTGTGAGTTGTCTAATATTGGTTTCGATTATACGCAGTCGTTAGACGTAGTCAGTGTTCACGCAGCACGGCTTTTTTTAAAGGGGCTGCAGCACCGGTTTGATACCCTTTACGGCTTTACCCGACAGGGATAAGGTGCTTAATGGAAATGGCTAGCATTGTTTTCTTGGTCTTAAAAGCATTATAATATGTAAACATAATTTATAAATAATTCAGATTGAAGGGGGCAAGGTACACGCCAAGACTGATGTTTACAAGCAGGAGCGAATAGGTAGCAACCAACCAACCAACAACCAAGTTAACAGGTACCAACCAATAAAGGTAAAAAGGTAAAATGGGGTAAAAGGTAAAATGCCTAGCTCAGCTGTACCAAAATCGGTGGAAGGCGCTCTTCCTGGCAAATATCTCAGTGTGCCGCCCGTGAAACAGACTTGAAAACGCTTACAGTTAGCGCCGGTCTAAAGGCAGTTCCAGCGTTTTAATACACTACTTGTACAAACTTTAGGAACTGATGTTTCGCTACTGTTTTTTTGGAATGGAGAATCAGTTATTTATTTCGAAAGATAACAACGGACTGTGCTTAAAATCTCGTTGAAGTAACTAGTCCAAAAAATTACTTAAATTGATTAAAAGAGCAAATGAATTTTTTTTACTGTAGCGTAACTCGCGCTATAACTCGTAACTCAAGTTATTTGTGAATAGCGTAACCCGTAACGTAACTCGCGCGCCGCGGCTAACTCGTAACTCTAACTATGGGTCCATTTTCCATAACTGCCCAGGTCTGGTACCATGCAAGCCAACAGCATCGTGTACAGCGGAAAGCATGAAAAGAAGCATAGTTGCCTGCTACTCCACAACCGCCACTTTGACGTGTTGACTTCCATGCCGGCTTTTTTCAATCGGGGCTACTGGTGTTTTGGGTGCAACAAGGGATATAACGACCGACGAAACCATCGTTGTACTGGCCAATGCAACCAGTGTCTCCGTTCCATCTGCTCGATGGATACATCCAATATGTTGACGTGCGGTGACTGCAATCGGAAATTTTATGGGCAGTCGTGTTTTGATCACCACAAACTGGGCCCCAGCGCTGATAAGCTGTTCCACAACCAACGCAGCATATGCAGCACGGTGAAACTTTGCCTACTGTGTGGCTCCATTTATTCCCTGCTCAAGAAAACCAGGAGCCGTTCACCGATGTGGAGAAATTTTCTGTAAAACCTGCCGGGAGCACATTGTGGGCGACCATCGCTGCTACATGAAACCACACAAGCTGGGTCCGTTTCAGAAGATGCAGTACGCGGATGCCCAGTTTTTATTCTTCGACTTTGAAACGTACGTTGCTGATGATGGACGACTGTACCCGAACCTTGCGGTAAGTCTGAATGAAAATTTTGCTGAAGTAAGATATACCCCCTCGGGGACCCCCTCGGAATCGTACTGTTGATGCAGGTCGGCCTGGAATGATGAAGGCGAAGAATGGATCTTCCCGCCAGAGGGAGAACCACTGAGCGACATTACCGACTCACTTTGCCGATTTCTGTTCAGTGAAGATCATCGCGGCCACATTGTTATAGCTCATAATTTCAAGGTAAATCGTTTTTAACAATTTTTCCCGCCTACTTCTAACTGGTAGAAATTTTGTAGGCTTTTGATGGCTACTTTATTACCAACTGGCTGCTGAAGAATGGCATCATCCCCCGAGTGATTATGAATGGCGGCAAGATCATGCAGCTTGACGTGGTTCAACTGAATATTCGCTTCCGGGACAGCATCAATTATAATCCACAAAGCCTTTCCAAGTGGCCAGCGACATTTGGGATTGAAGACACGTCTAAAGGTTTGTTCCCACACCGCTTTAATCGACCAGAGAACTGGGATCAGGTCACAGAGTTCCCTTCCATGATGGAATACGGACATCAGTACATGAGCAAGAAAGACCGTGAGGCCTTTGAACATTGGTACAAGGATGAAATCGCCGCCAAGCACAATACCTTCGATTTCCGAAAAGAGTTCGTGGATTACTGCAGTAATGATGTTACCGTCCTCCGCAAATGCTGTCTTCTGTTTCGGAACCTGTTTTTGGAAATTAGTAATGGAATCTGCCCATTTTTCTCCACGCTGACCATTGCGGGGCTATGTGGTCTGTACTGGCGCAGCAGTATCCTCAAAGCCAACCAGATAGGATTGATCCTACAGGATACCATTCCAATCACCAATCCGTCAAAGCGCTCAAGTGGCTGCAATGGATGGAGTTGGAAACTGCCAAATCCAGACGAGAGCATCGGGGCAGAGTTCAAGATTGGTCAGTACTTTGTGGATGGCTACTCTGCCGCAACGAATACAGTTTTGAATTTCACGGTTGCTGGTTTCATGGATGTCCTGAATGCACTGCTCCTGACACGATCCATCCATTCAGAAATCTTGCGATGAGCCTGATTTACGAGGAAACCGTGCAGCGAGATGACTACATCCGCAGCCGGGGATACGGGCTCCATGTGATGTGGGAGCATGACTTCGACGGCCTTGTCAAAGAAGTGCCATGGTTTGCAGCTTACATTGAGGAAATTACAGTGTGCCAACCTATTAACCCTCGCGACGCGTTCTACGGCGGCCGGACAAACACCACGAAACTTTTTCACAGTGTAACAGGAGAAGAAAAAATTCGATATTTCGACGTCTGCAGCGAGTATCCCTATGTGAATAAGAACAAGCGGTATCCCATCGGCCACCCGACCATTATCGTCAAAGACTTCGACGCAGTGACGGATTATTTTGGGATCATTCATTGTGAAATTATTCCTCCGGCCGACTTGTATCTTCCAGTTCTCCCATACCGTAGTAATGGAAAACTCGTCTTTCCTCTTTGTCGGACTTGTGCGGAGACACAACAGAACGCACCGTGTGGACACTCTGAGAACGAAAGAGCACTCTCTGGCACATGGTGTAAGTAAAATTAAAACCCCTGGTACCCTCGGTAAATGTTTCTTGCAGGTACACCGGAGATACATGCAGCTATTGATCGCGGCTACGTCGTGACAAGAGTTTTGAAGTGTGGCACTTTGAGCAGACCGAAGAGAGATTATTCGCTGATTACATTGACCGTTTTCTCAAAATCAAGACTGAAGCAAGTGGATGGCCAGTTGATATTGTCACAGACCAACAAAGGACCAGTACCTGCAGGATTTCCATGACCACGAGGAATTGAGTTGGACCAAGAGAAAGTGGAAAGTAACCCGCATGCGGTCACTTGCCAAACTGTGTCTTAACAGGTATTATATTTTCATATGACCTCATTAAATATTAGTCATCATTGTTGCTTGTAGCTTTGGGGACGCCTCGGTATGCAAGATAATAAGCCGAACACTAAGTACATTTCCTCTCCAGAAGAATTCTACAGGATGCTTCTTTCTGGAGAATACCACATTCGTCGTGGGACATGTTCAGTGACGACGTTCTACAATTGGCGTATAAAGGAGAACCTGTTTGTGGAGCAGAATCCGCATACCAACGTCGTCTTGGCCGCGTATGTTTGCCCTTTTGTACTTGCATTTGTTGGTCGAACTTTTGATATTTTATCAGGTTTACCACCTGTTGGGCGCGGTTGCACCTTTATCGT